CAAGAGTTATTAAGCTCCAAATTGGGTGAACAAAATCGTGCAAAATTTTAGGAATTTTCGACAAAAGGCACAAGAGTTATTAAGCTCCAAATTGGGTGAACAAAATCGTGCAAAATTTTAGGAATTTTCGACAAAAGGCACAAGAGTTATTAAGCTCCAAATTGGGTGTGCAAAATCGTGCCCCCACACACTGACATCCATATATATAGATAGAAAAAAAACTCTTATTTTTTTTTTACTTTTGCATTTCCCTACGTCTCAAGGCTTCCGATTCCAAAAATGTAAAAATTTTGTGTGGTCATTTTTTGACCGATTGCCGTACTTTTCCTCTGTTATATAAAACAGCCGGAAAGATAAAAAAAATTATTTAAAAGAAACCATACAAAGTAAAACTAAAAGATTTAAATTTCCATTACTAATACAATCACAATTCATTATGCTTCTTGATATATCTGTTATATCCTTTTTCGTTTTTATTATCGACCAGTAGCGTGTCGCCCTTGGAAGCGGTGAAAGCGCCGCTTCCCTTGTACTTTCAAAAATATGAAAATAATCGAACAATATGTATTTATATTTGAACGTATCTTATTACAAATTTCTATACTACATATGAAAAAAACGAAAAGATTGCTATTATATATTCGAATATAAATTCGTATATGGATATTCCCAATGGAAGAGCCGTATTGTCGAATACGGGACAGCTTCCACGACGAAAATATTTGAATGGTGTAAAACAGCCAGATTATAGGCATTCGCGTATACGCTTTAGGGAGCACAAACCTCACGGTGGAAGCTACACACATAACGCTTCCAATGATTCTATCCAGGACCGGTTCCAGGGCTGTTACCCACTTGTCTGTTAGATATTTGTCTGCCCTCGCCCATTATGTGAATCGCGAGTAGATTTATAACTTAACCTACCGATAAGAATTTACTGGTATGTTTTTATGATATTTCTGTATAGTTGACAGGAGTTAAAGAAAAAAAATCCATTAAAATATTTGATATATTTATTTTGCTCTCCCATCTTGTATTACAGATTTCAATGTTAAACTAGTGATATTACGATTTAGTATGTCCCATCTTTAAGGGGATGCAGGAAAAAACGTAAACAATTCTTGTAAAATGTTTAAAAATTAACTGTTACTTTGGCAGTATCATTTACAACTAGCTGTAATGTGTGAGAGTCGAATTTAGGGAATAAATTGATAAATAATTTTTTGTTGAGGGAGGAAAAGTTTAAAGAAATAAAACAACGATATAAAAAAAAAGAACAAAAATCTTTTCCCACAAACTTAGTTCCTTGTCAAGTATGCTACATCGAATGTGTCACCCGAAATCTCGAAAAGACTATTGGTCAGTGGTGAAAAAAGTCCTAATAAGGCAGTGGAAAAAACCCAACGAGACCCCCTTTATAAAAAGAAGGGGTCGATGCGTAAGAGTCAGTCTCTGGAGCTTGGTGTACTGTGAATTTTACGTGAACGGATTAGCCGCTACCCGGAACTAATCAATCGCCGCTGTTCGGAAGGACTACGCCTAAACCGACTAACAACGTTCGGAAGAACTTTGTGCAACTGGGAAAAAAGCATATCAACAGTCGAAAGAACTTTGTGAAAAGTCTAGAGACTCGAGGACGAAACGACTAATAGAAAATTTATAACAAGGTATTTATCCTCGCGCGAAATACATGTGAGCTCTCTTTCTCTCTCAGGAATACGGGTAACTGGGAAGAAAATAGATATATTAACTGAACCGATTGTATATAGCTTAATTCGAACAATAAACGGGCATTATGTATAGATTATGTAGAGTGTAATTCCTCTGATTCTCTCGTTACGCCTCCATCCCGGAACTAAAAGTCCACAACCGCGACCGTTCGCGTAACCAAAAGTAACGGCCACTAAATTTTTTTTTCTGTGTCTGTTACAAGACACAGTGGTGTCATCCTGACAGGGCGCCAAAGAGGTGCCGCCCCTGCGGTCACATAAAGTAACTGTAATGAATCCGGCCGGATGGCCCAGAGGTCAAGGTGGCAGCCTACAGCTCTGAGGAACCCGGGATCGATCCGGACGGGTCAAGAAATCCCCAGGAATTTTTCGGGGGGTGGTCCGTTCGGATATGTCGGGCCCCGTCCATCACCCGGTTGTCCCATTGTGGGCCTGGCCGAACCCATAATGGACCTGCTATAAGAGGCCCTCTTAGTGCCCACAGAACGAAAAGAATATTTAAAAAAATGTAATAAATGAGACGCACAAGGTACAAAAAAAAAAAAGCTTTAGAATTTATATTCCTTAACCAATCACTAGCCGAGTACAGTGGGGACTAATTTCTTCGTAATATTAGACGTAATATAGACAGAAATTTTTCCAGTTCAATGAGAGTGAGTGAATTGTAGTTTGGAAATGTAAGTTTGGAAATTTCCGTCTACACCTGGTCCTAAAACGAATTAGTTAGAAAACAAATGACAGACAATCTATTAAGTTTTACATATTTAGATTTTTACAGCTATGTCGAGAAACGTTTAAAATTTACAGCAACCCTTTCACATCCTTTGAGGTATATTGTGAGATGCGACGAAACAGGCATTTGACATTGACCGGTATCGGCACCGTCGGGACTTAGCAGCCCGCACTGCACCCCTACCAGGCGTCTCTGATTTCATCTATTAGCCACTCATAGGGAGCTATTTGACTAAGTGGATTGTTTTAAGATTTTAAAAAGTAAAGATTTTATGTTATTTTAATCTACGTTTCTTTACAAAGCTATATTTAATTATAATTTTCTTTAAAAGTATATTCATACAATTGAAGAATATTTTGTACCAGGTATCCAGGTATTTTGTACATCCACCACACATTTTATTTCATCAATTGTAATTGATGAAATAAAATTATAATTGTAGCCCTTATATCGTGGCTAGCGATTAGGAATGCAATTGTGATAGTAAAAATACATTTAGAGAAGTCTACTGTTTTTCTGGCTTATCGAACAAGCGAATACGAATGGACCCTAGAGGGCCTAGACCATCACTGACGCCCAATTATGATTGCCCCTGGAAGTCAGCTTCTTACAGAAACACAGCTTCTCTATCATCAAATGTCATGAAACGCCACTACCATCGACTATTGCAAAATCAAAATATCGATCGTCTCTGAAAAACGTTGATGTCCTGCAGTATCAAATACACAGCCAAGGTTTAACTTTATGCAAATATAAACAAGCACATCCTCTCATTAGTGTGCAAATTTGCCTTTGTCTTAATAAATGGTAGTTAAGTGTATGTATATATATATATTAGTGTTGTAATGAATAGTATATTCGGCCTGAGGCCGAATACCGAATATTCGGAAAGGAGCGAGGCCGAATAGCCGAATATTCGGCCAAACTATTCGGCTCGATTAACGCACGTACGAAAATTGCCGCGCAAACCGCATTATGGCAAGGATCCTGCTCTCTATTGGCCCGCTGTCACTACTCTTCGCCAATCGCGTTAATTCTTGGCAGTTGTAGCGGACAGACAAGAGTATCATGGAAGTATGTGATAAACAATGATATCAAATGTGTATAACAATGAAATGACCTACACGTGTAAATAACGGAAAAAGAACAGAGAAGGACCGCGAAGTGAAAATGTGAAAATAAATATGAAATTGAGTTGATAACATAATCGAACAAGTCGAGGCAGCTTATTGGCACGAAATTCGCGGCCGTCAATGCCAAACAATTGTTGTCATAGACTTCGGAAAGCTAAATGCTTGTAATGAAAGTCACTTAGCGTGCACGGGCGAAAGCCTGGGGCCGTTCGGGCTATCAAGCTGTCTCGAATCTGTGAAATCATAACTGTGACTTATATCGACGTCCTATCTGTCTCTTTTCTCCGTTATCACCAGGCTGAGTCACGTAATTGTAAAATGGGAACTCTACGACGGAAAAGTGACGAATCGAAAGTATCGTGAGCGCGTATTATGATGTATGCACAGGCATACATGGATTAGAGCGATAGAGGAAAGAGAAAGGGAAGAGCAAAGACGAGCGCTTAAAAAGAAGGATAGGCAGGGTCAGACCCTCAGATGTGCGAGGATTCTCCAACGATAGACGTGTACGTGTGCTGATCTTTGTAATTATAAATTGTGAATACATGTGACTAATATTATTTTCTTTTTTATTTTGTGCATGTTACAAGTTATAAATAAATATAAACAAACAACACTAACTCGATAACATTAAATCTAAATAACAAAATGATTAATTTACCGTGTTTTTGTTATTTATTACTCCTGCTTTTAGATATTCGGTATTCGGACGAATAGTGAAAAATAGGCCGAATACCGAATAGTAACCGAATATTCGTTACATCACTAATATATATACATACACTTAACTACCATTTATACGCTAACATTTTACGCGCCCTTGGGTATATATACGTGTATATATATACACACGTATATATACCCAAGGGCGCGTAAAATGTTCGCGAGCAAAAAGGGGTGGATAATGGAAAAAGTTTAAGAAGACTTGCTCTAGCAGAGTTTTTCATGGGAAAGATTTCGGATACAGATATAAATAATGCAATCTGATTCTAGATAAATAACTATTGTTCACATGACAGATTGCAAAAGAAAAGGCAATTCGCACTTAAATACAACCTACACTTTATTTTTAAATAATTAATTTTTTGCATATCATACACTTCAGCAATATCATTTTTATGATGCTTAACAAAAGCTACTTTTCAACAAAATTCTTGTGCGTTTTTAAAAATAACCTTCATTCATTCTGAAAAATAACAACAAAGCAACACAAAATATTAGAAAAAAAAAATAATTCAAATATGAAGATTTGTTGCTAGAGACGAATACAACGTTTCATTTTAAAATATCTCCACGAGTGAATCCAATTTAAAAACTGAAAAAATAACAACAGTTTAATGAATTTCTATTATCTATTATTCGATAAATAATTTTATTCTATTCTTCTACATAAATATTCATTTATCGCATCATCTATCTACAGTTCAAATTCCTCTAGTAGATAAATCAACGACTGTCACTTATAAGCAGATTCATTCAGCTGAGAGAAGTTTGATGTTAAAAGAACCTTTCCTTTCGTCTACAAAATGAAGCCTTTTATTCTTCTAATTATAATAGGTATGTACAAATATTTCGGGGTTTATTAATTGTCAATGACAATCTTTACAGTGTGTTCATTATATATATATATATTTCGTTATTTTTTATGTAGTTGCAACAATAGAATGTGCTTCAATAAAAGATCTACTACTGAAACGTAAAGCTATTGAATCAGCACGTAATTTTTGGAAATTTCTTCCGAAAAGTAAGACTTTCGAATATACTGCCGGTTCACCTATGGCTGTTTCAAATGAGGATCTTGCTGTTTTAAGTTCTAGTCCTCCTAAAACTCTAAAAAAAGAAACAAGACATACAGCATCACCAACAACATATCATACAACACCAACTACACCAACTAAACTAACTAAACCAACTACACCATCTCAAACAACAACAGCAACATCACCAACGACACCCGAACCAACAACAACGGTTGAACCTACAACAACAACAACTCCGCCAGCTCCGAAAAAACCTTTCATTAAAGTAGTGTTCGATTATTTGTTGAAGATCCGTTTCGAGTTTGAAGTTAATAAAAATCGTTAATTATTGATTCGATGTAAATTAATCCTGTGTAACACGATTAAGCTAAAATCAAGTAAAAAGAATATGTGAAGGTTTTGAAATATTTTATTAACATTTTTAATTACAAATGATAAAACTATAATTTGAATAAGAACTTTTTATGTTTATAGCTCTGTACAATGAAAAAAATGTCGGGTAATATCTTTGTAAAGATTCTGATAATAAAATGCATTGTAATTCTCTATTATGATAAGAATCATGTGCATTTCTAAGATTAAAAATGTATTATCGATTTCGATTTTAGAAGTAAATAAAAAAATATTGCAATGATTATTATATTGTCAAGAACACTGAAATTTTGTTGACACAAAAATCATACGAAATATTATACAACACTTTACATGAATTAAAAAAAAATGAACGATGATAATCAAACTTCATTCCACTCTCCTTACATACCTTTACCTACCATCATTATTATTATTTTTTCTTTCTGAAATTAAAGAAGCAATCGATACCTTAAATCTTTCTAATTTTAGTCCAGATAAAATCCCTGCAACTTTCTATAAAAATTAAAACCCATAGTAGCCGTTGTCTTATCAAATCTGTTTTCCACATTTTTGCAATCCAGCCACGTCCCTAAACAATGGTATTCTTCAACGATTAAAGCTGTACATAAAAAAGACAAAAATTAATTCAGATGTATTGCATTATTATCCGCCATGTTAAAAAATCTTTGAAATATGTATATACTGTGAAATTTATGTTCCGATCACTTCCAAACATAGACATCGTTCAACAACCACAAATTTACTAGATACCGTATCCATAATTCTCGAAATTTTCGAAAAGAAACGTGCACTTATGTCGTATACATAGACATTTCTGAAGCTTTTGACTCCGTTCTTCCAAATATCCATCTTTCCTCACTCGGTGAACACTTTGACATTGATCCATTCTTAGTTGAATAATTATTTCTTAGCCCGTTCTTTTAAAATTAGACTAAATGACTGAATTTCTCGACTTTCCACCTATCTGCAGCGTTCAACAAGGATCGATCCTTAGTGGCCTATTTTTTCTCCGTTTACATTGATCAATTACTTAACCGAATCAGGTTCACTGTTATTACTTACGCCGATGATATAAAACTGATTAACCATGATCCAGCAGTTCTTCAATCTGATCAACCTAATTTGCAAAGGCAAACCTTAAAATCAACATTAATAAAATCGTAGTCATATGCTTCTCGTTGATTCGGAACCTTCCCCTTTATCATTGATGCCAATATTCTGGAATATGTCTGTTCCTAAATGATCTTGGCATTATATTTGACAATAGATTAACTTTTCATTTTCATGTCGATAAAATCGTTAAATCACTAGCAATTCGTAGAGGTATTTTATGGTATTTTTGCAAACCTATCTCATCTAAATCTGTTTTACGATCTTTTTTTTTTTTTTTTTGCGAACTTACAATCTATTATTGATTGTTGCCTACCGATTTGGTCTATGGCTACCCTTTCTCTTCTCAATAAAATTTTGAGAGAACTCGATAAGATATATTTATTGTTAAATAAACTAAGTAATCTACCGTTTACTAACAGTCCAAAAGTTGCAAGGTTCAAGCTAGGTCTTCCCAATATACATGAAAGAATCAAATATTACGATCGCATACTCTATTATAGTATAAATATTTTAACGGTTTTATTCCGGCTTCCTGGTTTCGTCTTAGAATACTCGTAAAGAATACACGCCACACCACTTGTATTTTTACTCCTTTTTACCGTTTATCTATATAATATATATATCTGGTAGTCTGTCTAAGATGATTTCCATGGATGGATTGATCCCAGATGTATTGGCTCTCTCCCTCATCAGTGTCTGTTTTCATTGTGATTCTGGTTAGACATAATGTTGCCACCTTTCCAAAATCGCTGACCGACGGCAGGTGAGGTTTGTTCGAACAGGAATGTCATTTTGCAATGCGAAGAATAACGTACAGTGCATGCCGGTTCTAAATCAGTTACAGTTAGGGACTAGGGAGACTTGGGTAGGAGTAAGGTAACTAAATTAAGTAAAAACAACTACAAATGACTTAGCTCTATTGGATGTTGGAGACGTATACGAATACGAATCGTACGAGCAAAAAAAGGGGGCGACAGGTTGCGCACGATATTCCCGGACAAAATTAATAGTTCATCAGGACAGTGAGTTGATTCCCGGACTGTCCGGGTGAAAACCGGACGGATGGTAACACTAGTTAGATAGGTAGACAAACGAAAACACTGCTTTCAAGTACAGTACGTTATATACATATCACTTTATTATTGTAAAAGTTACATACGAAAAGTATATGTTTACGATACCAACTTATGTTTAAAATCATATCGATACTTAAAATACTGTAGATTTAATTCTTAAATAGCCAATAATAAATTCCACGAGATATAAGTTAAACCAAGTGGTGTATCATTAGAATAGTATTTGTAAGGACTGATGCATCGATTATTCAAGGATGTGTACCATCATTCTTAAAGCATTTGTTGGTAAATCTAAGCAAATGATTATTTCATATATCTGTTACTAGTTACACAATGTGTAGGCCTCTACAAGTGGAAATTTTCCTGGACTAATAGCAAGGATTTGCTTGTTGGCCACTATCTACATAAAAATAAATTTATATGTCTAATGTAAACATTTAAGTATATTTTAAAATATTAAATAAAATATCCTACGACACTAGCAGCAACAGCATTTATTTCAGACGCACTTGCCAGAATGTTAGTTCTATCTGCAATTTTTTTGGATAACAAGACCCAAAAGTAGCATGTAAACTATGCTAAGTTCGGTCTTGTTATCCATTTATAAATCATTACTGTATATGTTAATAATTAATTAGCATATATCATTTTAGACAAATATATTCTTCACCCAATTTTAAATTTGAATTTTTTTCCGCGATTTTCTATTCATGCCTTTAAAAAAAAAAAAATAAATAAATTACTGTACAAGCAAGTTTCTTCGCACTGTAAAACTATTGTAATATTAAAAATACACATATTTTTATATTGTTCACTTTGTAAGAAATGTACAGTACGTGATAACTGAAACAGTTTCATACAGATTTAATCAATTGAAAAAAAATCACATGCTTAAAAATTTGTAATCGATTTTGATTTTGCTGGTAAACAAATTAATCGCACTTATCATTAATATATATTACTTAAATGATGATAAAGTTTTATAGGAGTTTTATTTAAAAAAGAAAAACAATTTCCTGTGTGGATAAATTTATAATGAAGAAGAGATTTGACTATATTTTTGATATTAAACTAAATACGGATTTACATAAATCAGCATTAGCCTTGCCGGCCCCGACGCTAGGTAATTACTATATTATTAATTACAGGCGAAAGTTTTATATCCTCGTAAGTAAGCATGAATAGTTAAAAATGCAATATCTGTCTTCATAATGGATTTTTTTCCGTGCCACGACTTTATCGATGGCACAGCACCGCAAGTTTTTAAACAATGCCACCCTTGGACATTATCACAATTTATTTTTCAATACAGAGAGATTTAAGAGAAGCCATAAAAAGCGAGTTTCATATTTTTCTTTCCTTAATCATGCCTCTTCACATTTGGCAAACTCCAGCTTTATCTTCTCATCAGTAGCAGTACTTAAATGACATCTAATACCCTAAATATTCCATTTAATACAATGAATAAAAATGAACAATCCCTTAAAGTATCATTTCCTGTGAGGAATAAAAAGAGTCTAGAGTGATCCTGTCTTTGTCATCGAGCGTCCGCAGCCGGATATGGAGCGAAGACTGCTTAATCAGATGCAGTGACACTTGTATGGCATTGATTGACTGTGCGCTCTTAAACATCGAGTCGCAGCTTAGTCCATTGAGCTTACAATGTCCTAGCTCACCCCTTTTCTTCCACCGCCACAATAAATAGCTGGGATGAATTATTACCAGCTTTTTAATAATCATTTTCTATTACCTACTGCGCTTAGGGGGAAAAAATGATCGCGGACTTAACGAAACGATAATGCCTTCTTGTGGAAGGATAAAGCGTGCCAGGAGGCTGCACAGACTAAAAAATATCCCCCTTATAAAAGAAAGTGGACGCAGATATATATGAATTTAATTCCTGTATTTTTGATACGGCTGGATTCGGAGATTTAGCAATGTCATTATATTAAAGTTAATTTTGTAAAATATTCCATGCTTTCTTTTTATAACAATGACAGTGCTGTCACCGAATTCCCCTCACTTAAGCATTTTTTTTTACAATGGGGGTCTTTATTGTATTATTTATGCATAGATTCTACTCTGCCATGAATGAAATGTCAAGAAAGGTTTAAGAGAGAAAATTATGACTGGAGGAGTTTTTTCAACGGAAAACTAATGAAATTTTGTCTCGGTGCTCAACTATAACGAAAACTTTTAACAAAAGTTGAAAAAATCAAGTCATTCCGGACTCCAACACCCTCGGCGTGAACTTTCGATCATTAAACTGTTTAAAAAAATCATTTCTCGCAAGATCAATGCTAATTTCTACAGATACGTACAGTAATTTGCCGGCACGACCACGCCCAACCCCCTAACTCTCATTCGAAATTTTGCGTTAAACTTACCATTACAATACAAAAATTCAATTATTTTCGTAAGAAAATGTTTTTTGACAACTTTTCCATCAGTTTTCTTATAATTTCTCAACAAAAACTAACACCCAGAGAACAATTTGACATCAACAAGACAGAAGAGAAAAAACAGGCGATGAAACACATGTATGCATATTCAATAAAAAAAGAAGCAAGAATAGTTACAACTTGGTGGTATTTCTAAGATAATTGATGAAGAGATAGCGAAAACACGAAGTGTATGTTTTCTCATCGCCTCCCATCTTCATGGATTTCTCTCTATCAATGGTTTTTTAATATGAGACAATGCTCTAGAGTGGAAAGTAGATACCCGATTATCCACTGTTTTGTAAAAGGTACAATTTGTGAAGATTTGTTTCCGACCAGATAATGTAAATTTTCCCTCTTGTTAACTTTAATGATAGTGATGGCGCTGTCATCCCGTGTAATTTTTCATGCTAGAAATTACACCCTCTCTATATAACAATGGATATCAAGCGACGAGTCTTTGTCGTCATTACAGCAACTGTCCTGACCCGATCGTATTACAAGCGATAATTTCACCCTCTGTCGCTCATATCAAACATTACTTCAGTCATCCACACTCTTTTTACAAAGAGGAAGCAGTCAACCTGATGGCAATGCATCACGCTTTTAGTAAAACACGTGGACCGACATATTTTTTAAACAGTTTTTTTCCCTTTTCCTACCGGCTTCCCCTTTAATTGATGAACTGTACGGATGGAATTACGTTCTGTTTTTAACTTTTTCCGATTTTCTTTAATGCATTTCAGACACACACACACACTCTCTCTCTCTGTGCTTCCCCCTTCTTCTTTTTTTTCTTCAACAGAACTCGATATCTAAATCTTTAAAGGTCTTTTCAAAGTATCAGAT